CTTTTTGTAATTTCCCCTCCCTTGGCTTAGTTCAGCCGCCCTGAGTCCCTTCGGGGAATAGGGTGGCCTACAAATTGAATAAACTCATAAAAAAACTCATAAAGATGGCTTACAACCCAGTAAAAACAAGATAACAAACAAGAATGATAAATGTAAAGAAGAATAGCAATTATGTGAATGTATACTTAAAGGGGCATGTAAGAGAATAAAAAAATAAAGAATTCTTTGAAAAAAAAGAACATTAAAATATTTAAATAGTAATTGGGCTCAACTATGGTCATAAATCGAGGACTACCTGTATATGGATTAATATACCTAGATATTAGACAGAACGTTCTCCTCATGTTTTACCGTGGGAGTTTTAACCGGTTCATGCAACATGGAATCAAATCAGAAGATGAAGAAATAACCATGGTTCATACCAATGAATCCAGTTGAATCGGAGCAAAGGCCAAGATATTGCCAAGGGCATCAGATGTCTGGTTTAAAACGATGGAGTGAACAGGACCTCCTAGTCCATCAGAAATGACCAGATTCTGCATCTGGGTACCTCTGTCTGCTGCCAGCATCTTTATGGAGATAGTATAATTCGATCCTAGGAAAGATGTAGAAAGTTAGCAGGTTGTCTATGGAGATTCTCAGTCATCATGGTTCTCTCAAAGGTGCTTTTTTTTCAGGAGGCAACTGGACTTTCTGTTTTTTCTTTGAAGATGTTTTGCTTTTCATCTAAGACGCTTCTTCAGCTCTGGCTGGGTGGTGGGGAATGGAAGGATTTATTTTCCTTGCAGATTTATATTCCTTGCAATAACAACTAACTGTCTGCAAGGAATATAAATTCTTCCATTCCCCACTGTCCAGTCAAAGCTGAAGAAGCTTCTTGGATGAGAAGAGAAATGTCTTCCAAGAAAAATAAGAAAATCCAGTTGCCTCTTGAAACAGCACTTTCGGGACCAAAGTTAGTAGAGCTGACTCTTCCTTAATACACTCTTCTTCTGAAATGTCCCAAAAGTGCTTTTTTTTTTAGGAGGCAACTGGACTTCCTTGGTTTTTTTTCTTTGAAGACGTTTCGCTTCTCATCTAAGAAGCTTCTTCAGCTCTGACAGGCTAGTGGGGAACAGAAGGATTTATACTCCTTGCAAGCAGCTGGTCATTTGCATCCTTTTAGATCAGTGGTAGTCAACCTNCCTCCTTTTTGCTATCAGGGGCCTTCAGGAAGTTTTTCTGGGGCCGGACAGCAAGGCCAACAAAGCTTTCTTGAAGGCCTCTGCAACTGATAACAGAGCTCCTGATCGATCGGGTCTTAATTAGGGCTTATTTTGAGTGCACTTTTAGAAATCAAACTAGGGCTTACTTTTGGAGTAGGTCATATTTTCGGGGAAAATACGGTAGAGGTAGAGAGATGATGGATGGATGGATGGATGGATGGATGGATGGATGGATGGATGGATGGATGGATGGATGGATGGATGGATGGCAGATAGACAAACAGACAGGTTTATTCTTGAACTCCTTTGAAATTATAGAATTAGAACTCTGAAACTAATCAGAGTTATTACTGCTTTCTCCATATAATATTAAGTTTCATCAACTTTTTTTTTTCGTTTCATGCTTCCTTCCGTGATCCCACTGCCATTCTCTCCTTGCAACTTTGGAATTCTGGCTACCGTGTGGAGTAGCATCAGCAACTAGATGTCCGGAAGGCTGAATCTGTTATGAGTACCAGGTTGTGCTCTGAGAGATCGTCCAATTTTCTTCAGTAGCATTTTGAGTACTATCCAACTGATCATCCAGCACTACATCAATAATTGCCGTATCTTGTCCATCCATCTGGTTTTTCCTGATAAACATCTGGACTGGTTCATCTATCCTTCTCCCGTGCCGCATGAGATTATATTTCTGCTGTTGATGCTCAGGTGATCATTTGCCTCCAGCATTTTCTCATATCGCTGCTGTTGACCTGGAGGTGCCTGCTTACTTTAACTGGAAAGCTGAAATGACCTTCACACTTTAGGTGACCTTGAAGGGACTATATATACTCTTAGCATCTACCCCCAAGGTTCTTTGCTCATCCTTCCCATCTCCACTCTGCCAGAGTAAAGCAACATAGCAGGATTCGAGGGTGTCAGGAAATGGCATGTTTTTTTCATGCACAAAGGGTCTCTGTCCCTTTCTTTCTCCCTCCCCTGGCAGACCTGCCAAGTCACAAGTAGATCCTGAAATATGGTTGGTTTTGTTTCTAGGTTCCAAAAAGATAGTACTGCCCAATGGCCAAAGACCTAAATGGAAATACCACATAAGCTATTTCTATTCTGCACAAAGCCCAAGAAGACAAATGTCAGCAGAGGCACGTTGGTAACAGATCTGATAGTGTAAATCGATCTGCACCAGTCAATTGGCTAGAAAGATTAGAGTTAATGGGTGTGCGAAGTACAAGTGCACGTGCAAAGCGCACTCTCATAGAACCAATAGGAAAAGATTTGGAATCCCACCACTGCTCTTCTTCCTTCTCCTCCTTCCTCCTCTCCTCCTTCTTTTCCTCCTCCCTTCTTCTTCTTCTGATTCTTCTGATTCGGATTCGGATTCAGATTCAGATTCTTCTGATTCTGATTCTTCTGATTCTGATTCTTCTGATTCTGATTCTTCTGATTCTGATTCTTCTGATTCTGATTCTTCTGATTCTGATTCTTCTGATTCT